TAAAGAATACATATAACTTTTTAGCCAAATCTTTTAAAATTTCCAAATTATTAGTGAGACTTTTTCAAGATATAAAATATTACTAGAAGTTTTTGCAATGCATGAAAATAATTTTGGTAAAAAAGTTATAAAAGAAATCTTGGGAGATATGAGTGTTTGAAATTGTATATTGCGAGAACCTAGATGGAAGGGTTATTTTTTCAACCGCTTAGGCGGCTGAGATCATTGGTAATTAATGGAATATCTAACGACGTTGACGTTTTTAACGAAAGCGGCTAAATTTGTCAACCATATTTTTAAAATATGGACATTTTATAATATTTTTCATAAATTGACTATTATTATTACCACAAAGCCAATACTTATGTCTACGCAAGTGAATATTACCTAATTTTTTCATAATAATTAAGACTCTAATTAAACCTTTGAAGAGATAATTATTTCTTATCCATAAACACACGTATTAATAAATCTTTTATAATATGGTGAGATATATAATTTTAAATATAATTATTAGTTTCATAACATTGCAAGAGTGCAGACCAAAAAACCAGTATCTATAACGAGAGACGACAGTGCTATATTGAGCCAAATCACTACATCGGTTCAAATATTCATCGGTTCGCTCGTCCGACTACCTGTCTGTCTGGCTGTCAAAGGCGGGTGTTATAATGCAAAACGAAATGTTAGTTTTAGACGCTTTGCAGTGAGCATGGCACGGATGCCGCCTCCTTGTTGATTCCGTTCGGTCAAATTCTGAAATCCAGTAGGGGATCCGAGGAAAATGACATCATCATTTCGTCTTGCAAATGGTTCGATGATTCAGGCGTGAGATTGTTGTTGTTATTTACCAGCTCAAGGAAGGAAGGACGTGTTTATTAAGTTAGCTAGCTAGTGTGTCGATGAGTTGGGCTATATAGTTCTTATCAATTTTAAGTCATCCAATCTTCTGGGTCGTCCAATCTCTTTGTTTCCTTTTTCTATCTCAGAGTTTTCGGTTGACCTAACTTTTATCGAGTAGAACAACAAGATAAGGATAGTGGAAAAAAGGACCAATATGTTAGGACTTCATGAGCAGTGACACTTCAACACGAATTGGATTATTGATCGTTATTTAGGTACGTACGATGATGTCATCACTACTCCTATTTGTCATATAATGGTGGAATTCCAGGAGACCCTTAAAATTGGAGGTATTGGATTAACGAATTTTTTGAGTATGAAAAAAGGAGGGGAAAAAATTATGTGGTGGTTTATATGATTCAAATTTGTGATGCTGCAGTTATTAGCGAACACATAAGCAAGAAATCGACCTTAACTGACAAGACGCATTTTGGGGTGAAATGAAGTACAACAAGGATGGGTGACCTTATGAGAAATCACATTGAATTGCACACCAAATAGAAAACCGTGAGGGTCGAGCCCCAAAATGGACAATATCTTCGTCGGAAAAAGGTTCGAGATGTTACAATAATTGATCCGTTATTGTAATTTTAACATAAATACTATTACAAATGGCTACCCCTTATTCCCAAATTTCAGTTTTTTTTCCTCAAGAAATAGCACTGTTTAAAAAACAAATTCCAAAAATAGCACTCTTTCCCAAAAATCACCACCCGACCTAGCAGTTTACACAAAAACCGCAGGTTGGTGGCGCGGTTTTCAATGAAACCGCCTGCGGTCGGACCGATTTGGCCCAAAACCGCTACCCCACCCAGCGGTTTGGTCCATATAATTTTTTCTTTGAAAATCCTAACATTGGTGGAAACTTCAAACGAACGTATCTTTTTGTTCGGGTATCCGATCGTAGCAAAAAAAAAATATATTACACGCCGCCTGGTGGGGGTGCGGTTTGCAACCAAACCACCCCGACCCCATGCGGTCAGCAAAACCGCTCCTACCCGTGCGGTTTTCATCGAAAACCGTGCCCCTGGGTGACGATTTTCGTGAAAGGGTGCTATTTTCATAATTTTTCGAGGTTGGGTGCTATTTTTGGATTTTTTTAAACAATACTATTTCTAGAAATCCTGAACCCCAAAAATTAAACTCAATCTTCCAACGGTAAACGGCCTACCCTGTTCACTTCCATTTTCGTTTCTTGTTTTCTGTTTTTATGTCATAAATTTGGTAACCGAAATGAGAAAACTTGTTTACTTTTCATTCTGTTTTCTATTCGTTTCCAACTATGAAAACAGAAAGTGGCAACTTCCTGCTGTTTTCGGAAACGACAAAATGTTGTTTTCACCTATTTTCAACATCTGTTTTCTCAAAAACAAAAACATCTGTTTTAAATAGCAGCTTCAAACTTTCGACCTTCTTCCTCATGTGAGAATTTGAGCCTTCAACCTCTTTTCTTTTTCCCAACAAATATGAAAACAAAAAACGTGAATTTTTGTTGTAACTACTAACTTCTATTAATGGGATATTTTATTATTTAAGTTTTAAGTATTCTTTTAATTTAATCTAATTTTTAAAATGGAAAATCCTTATATAAAATTTTTAGGTCCGTCACTGGTTAGCCTCCCTCCTCCAAAATTTAGACTCAGTTGTGGGAAGCTGTTAAGTTTATTATTTATAAATCCTCCCTCTATATTATTATTATTATGGCTGTCAAAAGAGAAACAAAATTGCAAAATTTCATTAAAAAAATGCTAAATTGGGAAACATATACCATATGTTAAATATTGCACGTGTGCACAGGAATAAATCATTAAGTCCATTATAGGGTAAATACAATTTATTAATCATACCTTTCATACTTTGTAAATTATTGACCATACCTTTCAAAATATAAAATATTAGCCAAAAGTTGCTTTCTCATTAGCACTTTTATTGGTATTATTTATTTGGCAGCATGATTAACTTGGAAGAGACATGTGGATGTCAACATTCTAAAATTTTAACTAAGAAAGAGTTACGAAATTACTAAGGGCACTATTATTTTGATGTGCTACAAAAGATTTGGCTAATATTTTGTATTCAAAATTTTTGGCTAATAATTTGGAAATTTTGGCTAATAAATTGATTTTACCCTAATAACAATAACAAAAGAGGCAAACTTCCTTGACTCGTTGATAAATAAATTGTTAAAATATCGACTTAGACTTAGTGGTGTGCAATGGTCCGGTTCGGGACCACACTGCACCGAATCGAATTGAAGTTTGGACCGGACCACACCGAACAGGGTATAATGCGGTCCGGTCCTTGGTCCTCATGAATTTTACAATTACTGAAGAAATGATGGACCGAACTGATATTTGGACCAGACCGAACCGAACCAAATGGATCGAACGCAATGACGGTCCGGTCCTTAGTAAGGTGTCTTTCACTATTGAATCGCGGTTATTATGAGTTTGGTCCGTCCGGACCGGACCGAACCGTTGCACACCCTACTTAGACTGGTTTCTATTGTAGAAAAAAAAAAACTAACTTAAACTTACTGGTTTTGATTGCCTTTTGCTTCTCGATCGATCTGACATCAAGGGGTTGTTGTCAAGAACGACGAAGTTCCAGATACAGATGAAGCTCCCGACATCGATAGAAGTATCACAAGTCACAACCACGGAAGATGTGGTCGATGACTTCTTCGCTTAGATTCTTCTTCTAATTCGAGCGAGTGAAAAGCGGCATGATTGCATGAAGAATTCATGGAGAATAAATAATGAAGTAAATTAAACCCCGAGAATGGAGGATAAAAGAAATATATATGTGATCTTTCAACAAAAAGAGAAAAATGAAGAAATAGGTAATCTAGGATAATTAACAGAGTCAATCGTGATTGTTATAAACGCGCTGCTACGGATCGGGAAATCGTCGAAATCGATAAAGCAAGAATATGAAAGCGAGAATCGAAAAACACAGACACACGATTTATGTGGTTCACTAACACGATGTGTGTTAGCTATGTCCACGGGCGAGAGAGAACCAGTTTCACTATATCGAGGAGATTACAGAGGAGTATGAGAAGTATTTATAGTACTTCTCCATGTGGGTCTAAACCTAATCCAATATGGCAAAGAAAACGGTTACAGACCAGGCCAAGAACCCGAACTCTAATAACATTGAGCCCATACACCGTGGGTCACGGGCGTTGCCCCTGGACCCCACTCGCTGACCGAGCAGCGAGACCCCCGACTACCAGTCGTAGTAGCTGATAGTCCGATTCAAGTCACATCAACAGTTATTAAAGATGACTTTTCATTATCCAACTAATCAATTCTTAATTAAGATGATGACATGTGGCATAATATCATTGTTGATGTGGTGCTCCGGAGCACCCAATAATTCCTTGTCAAGAAGTAAAAGTTTCAGACTATACGATGATTCCTTTCCCTTTTTGCCTCATCATTAGGGGTAGGACTCGGTTCCGCCCGGTTCAACCGGTCAGGAGTAACCCAATCCAAGGCGACTGGGAGTTGGATCTAGAAGGTGGGATGAGGTCGTATAGGGGTCACTTTGTTCATTTTGGCACACATAATTTCAATGTGTTCGACCTTGGTTTTGGAAAATAGTTGGGTTGGGTTGGGCCTGAAAGGCTCAGAGCTGGGTCTGTGCTCTGATCTTGGTTTTTCGAATATCATGATTTAAAATCGGACTGGATTGGATGATTATTTAATTAACTTCTACTCCCCATAATCGAAGACCAAATCAAACTATAACGAAAACGATTTAGGTTGTAACCGAATCGGCTTATACAGTACTCCCAGCCCTACTCGTCATGGACTGGGTAGCTAGCTATCCTTTTGGTCAAGGCGATTTCTCCAAAATATAAGATAACGACGTACGCCCAAATCCCAGCCTTTAGTATTAGTTACGTCTAGGATTTGTGCTTTCACGCAAGGCAATTCGGCGACACCCACATCATGACAACACACTATGATCCTGCCTCCCTCTTTTAATTGAACATAGTTTGCACAGATTTTGGGAGCCCAAAAATCTAAAACACCAAAAATATTCTTTTTATGGACGTCCTATAAATAAAGCTAATTGATTGGTAACAACCATAAACTCGAAACCCAGATCAAGAAGCAACAATGGCGGCCTTTAGCAGCAGCAGGATGATGGCATTCCTCATCATTTCGCTTGTACTCCTAGCTGGTGAGCATCGTCTTATTCTTTATTTATCTCTTCCATGAATTCTGCCTTAATTCTTATCTGCCCATTTATATTCAAAGTTGTAGGCACATCGAGCTCAAGGGAATTATTGGCAGTCGTCAAGGCTGCAAATCATCATCATCACGGACACGATCTCAACTCCACCGTGACGATAAGCAGTGCGAATGATCAGCCGACGACGAACCACCACCACGACCACCACGACCACAAACACGGCGGGACAAAGAAGAAGAAGAAACACGGTGGGTGCAGTTGTAACAAGGATTGCGAGGGCCACGTCACTGATTGTGGCGATGGTGAAGCATATTGTTCAGAAGGCTCGTGCGGCTGCTACGGCCGTCGTCGATGATGATGATGATCTTCTTTCTTTCGACTCATAATATATATATAGCTCTCTGCCTCTCGGATCGCCATGATCAAAGTTATATTTTGGTGATCATCGTGAGCTGAAGTGCTGTTTTTGAAAAAATAATGACGAGTACCAAAGATGATTTGATAGTTGTGTATCTGTTTGATACTCCTTGTTGGCCGTTTCTTGGGTTTTTAGGTTGGCTATGTCTCTAGTCCTTTTTTTTAGTTATCTGTTTCACATTGCAGTTATAGTTTCCCACCGGAAATTGAGTTCAATATTTTCTGATTACCTTCTTATAATGTTTTTATTTTAATCTAAATCTAAACAACTCCTATATGGAGGTTCCGCTCAGGAACCCACCTCATTCACTTTTTCCTTCTTTCTGTGCACAGTTCGGAAGGTCTTTTTGGTCTTTGTAAATTTAATTGCAGCCGGTCTCTTGAGTCTGTTTCACGTGTACATTTCCTTCTTTTTTTACCAATGTACATTTTGCTTTGAGGAACCGATTATGGATATGAATGCATAAAGTTATATGGTGATAATAAAAATAATAGGATAAATATAATTTTTTTAGTCAAATCCTTCACGTATTTTAAAATATTAACCAAACTTTTGAAAATCTAAACTCTAAACAACTCTTATATGGAGGTTCCGCTCAGGAACCCACGTCATTCACTTTTTCCTTCTTCCTGCGCACAGTTCGGAAGGCCTTTTTGGTCTTTGTAAATTTAATTGCAGCCGGTCTCTTGAGTCTATTTTATGTGTACATTTGTTTTTTACCAATGTACATTTTGCTTTGAGGAACCGATTATGTATATGAATGCATAAAGTTATATGGTGATAATAAAAATAATAGGATAAATATAATTTTTTAGTCAAATCTTTCACGTATTTTAAAATATTAACCAAACCTTTGAAAATATGAAATATTAGCCCAACTTTTTATAACACTACAAAATTATAACCATTCTCCGTTAAAGTAAATATTAGCCTTAACAGAGTTACATGGAAGCTAATCGTCAGTCTACATGTTTGACACATCCTCACTGTGTCAATTAAAACAAATATGTTTAAATTTTATAATTAAAAGTAGGGTTATCAATTATCGTCTCCACCGCCGATTTCGCTCTCCCTTTGTCATCATTCCTTCGTTCTTCCTAAGATCCGCTCCGACGCAGAGGTCTGTTTCGCATCGCCGACGACGACTCCTCTCTTTACTCAATAGTAACGACAACCGAGTAATCTCCGCTATTGAGTGCCAAGTCATCATGTTCCTTCCATCTCAACATCACATCTGTCAACTCATCATCATCTAACAGAAGTATTTACGGAGATTTAACGGTTGGCTAATATTTCATATTCTCAAATGATAAGCTAATATTTTAGAATCTGTGAAAGGTTTGGCTAAAAAATAGTATTAATCCTTGACAATATATGTAATTGATTTTGTAATTAAATTGATATGATTGGTTATGGTTGTTGTGACTGTTGTCTTTATCTGAATGCTCTAACTTTTTAATCGACTATAAAAATAAATAAATGAATAAAATGCATGATTAGGAATGATTGGTTAATCAAAGGTTGTACATATTTTACTATTGAAATAATTTATTCGGCTAATGGGTGGTCTAAAATTCCTTTCGTTCCAGGATTCTCTAACCTTTTAATATACTATATGTAACAGAAACAAAACAATACATGGTTAGAAATTGTTGATTAATTCGTTTACGGGTTCTAAAACATGTTAATCGACCATAACCATCGAGACTCACTTCTTCTTTCCCCAAAAAAATTCTACGAAATTGAATTGTTGTCCCCCTTGAATTTTGTTCCTTAACTGCTTCGTTTTGGAGGGTACCGATATAGTAGTGCATCCAGGTCAAAGTATGTGGAACATATCCCCTTGCATTTGGATCATTGCATAAGCTTAATTAGTGGGAAGGTTCATCTTGGAGTATGAATTATTCTTCACTAATAGCATTATATTAGAAAGCCTAAACCATATTTAAGTAATAAATTAAGGTTTTCATGCTCATGTTAGAACCCATTCACCATCAACTATTTTGATATATATTATTTAGACCAAAATTAATTTACATTTCTAATTTGGGCGAGTGCGAATATAATTCTCGCAATTTTATGCCTTGAAAAAATATTCCCCATGGAGAGTCATTTTTATATCACAAGAAGATGTGGTTGATTCGGATAAGTCTTTATGTGAAGCGCAAAATAAGTTTTCTTGATGATACGAAGATTGATGAACTATAAACTGTTGATATTCTCTCTAACTATTTCACACTACTTGATCTTACAAAACTATTAGTTACATTCTACAATTCATAAATTAGCAAGAAGAAAACCTACTCTTTATATAAAGCAAAAGCGTAGATATGGAAAAATGTCAACTGGTATTGCATTTATTTCATGTTTTTATTATTTATATGTTGTCAAATTATGTATTGGCCATAAGATTGGTTACTTTACTAATTCCTATACAAGACTTCAAAATGAGATAATAACTTGCAAACTAAGAGAAATATATTTTTAAGGTCCATGAAAAAAATTCATTATATACAGTCTTTAAGTGATGCGTTCTGGAGACTTTTCAGGTTTATTGATATTAAAAATATTTGAGTTTTCTTCATTTATTTTGATGTTAGAATTATTATCAAATGTATTTCTTAAATTGGAATTTTAATTTTGCTGCAGTTGTTGAAGTGTTTGATAATGAAACCTATCATATAAATATTGTGGATATTGTGGAGCGATGATGTGGAAAGGTGAAAGTACCAAACATACGAGGAATTTCAATCAGCCAAAGTGTTCATTGTTCTACAGACAAGGCAAAGTGAATCTTCCTCATCAAAGGCAGCCTCCAGAGGTTTTGAATATGCTACTAAGCAAATACTTCAACGAGACATTAGTGTTTGGAACATGTCCAACACTATAATGGGGTATTTGCATAAACTTCTATTGGAGGTAAATTCGAAAGATCTCAAAATGATGGAGAGGAAGTATATGTTTATTCGATGGGAGTTAGTATATCATCGAATCAAAAGCATGTTACCTGAGAAAACATATCAAGTTTGCTCAACTCTACATCTATGACAGTTGACACTGCAATGAACTCAAAAACTGGTTAGAGTATTTCTTCCAGAGGTCCAATTTCAAACTCTTTTGTGTGATTCAACCATTCAAGAATTGCACGAGATGTTAAATTCAAGTAATATTTAGTAAAGACATTTCGATCTATAAGTGATTTATTGAATGACATCACTGTTTTGCAAGTTGAAATTAAATTGCTTGCTAAAAGAGAAGGAGATGGTAGAGAATATGATTTGTCATCTTTAAATTAGGTTGTTGCTTTAATTGTTGATTACGGGGAAGCAAACTTTTTCTCCTGATATTGTGTCCACTATCAAAGTCATTAGCTGGAACAAATTAGTATATACCATCTAAGTATAATAGCTTTGCAATATGTCATATTATTCTCACAACATGGTGACTCATTGCAATTGTGTGGGAAGTTGTAACAACATTACTACCAATGTTTTTTGGATTCTTACTTGAGAGGTGATTCGGATACTAATATGATCAGAAAACATGTGATTTTAATTTCATCACATATAGGTAATCCTCTTATATAAGTATGTAAATTTTGACAATGAGAAGTAGATTGAAGTTTAATTTTATTATGGTTTTCAAGAGTTGGTTCTCTTGAATGGGTTTGATATTTTACTTTCAATTATGAATTTTTATTTTTTCTGTAATTGAATAATTTGGGTTATTTTATATTATCAAATAAAAACATATCATACTTTGCATAATAACTATTATTTTATATTCTATTTTTTAAATGCAACCGGCCAACGGGCGGGCCCAAATCTAGTTCATGAAATATAAGTGTAATCATGAAATTGTTTAACAAACTAAGCCTTGTAACGTGAAGCTTTCTTGAACAAAAAGTAATGAAAGATTAAACGAGCGTTCGATTTCGATCGGCATTCGGCAATATATAACTAACTAATGGAGCCGGATTATAGGGAACGGATCAAGTCAGTAACCTTATGGTGTGTAACCATGAGTAACCCGTCCACATCCTCATGACATCAGCATCCTCTCTCTCCTAGAGAGCCTTTAATTTTCCCCTCCTTAATCTTTGACGGACGATTTCTCACTCGTTTTAAGTTGAAATTTAATTTTTTTGCACAGTTAGATCAGATTAATTGTGCTCTTCAAAATGATATCCGCTTTGATATATTTTTCGAACAAAAAAAATTGAGCAATTTTTTACTAGTCTATACCATATGGTATTGACTGGTATTGAAATAAGAGCATACCTATGGTTTGAAAAGCGTATCATGGTGGTATGAACAAACCAAGACTGTAGGATGGTTGAATACATGATAGTAGAAGTATATTAACTGTCATTTACGACTTTTAACATTGTGTACCACAAGATACCACCCCGTACCAGGGTGGTATTCTATGGTATTGTGTGGTATTTTTTGGTCCTGGTGTTCACCCAGAAATTTGCAGATTCCAATAGATCATGATGAACTCGTCCCTTCTGTGCAAACGTTTTCAAAAACGAATTAAAAATGAAGAAAATACCATATGGTATGCAGTTGGTACCGAGAGGCCAGAATTTTTTTTTCTAAAAAATATTGAAAATTGATCTCATTTTGTAGAGCACGATGAACTCGTTCCATCTGTGCAAAAAAAAAAAAAATCCGAGTTAAAACGAAAAAATATGAGCCGATTAAGAAATGTAGGGAAAATAAAAATGGTTTTTAATTCTCCATCCTTAGATCTGGATTTTCTAAATGAAGGTTTCAGATTTTGTTATTGATGGATGCATAACCCATTGTTATGCATCCTATCTTGAGCCCGGATGGGAACAGATCAGATCAGTAACCTTATGGTGAGTAACCATGAGTAACTCGTCCATATCAGCATGACATCAACATCTCTCTCATAGAAAGCCTTTAATTTTCCCCTCCTTAATCTTTGACGGACGATTTCTCACTCGTTTTAAGTTGAAATTTAATTTTTTTGCACAGTTAGATCAGATTAATTGTGCTCTTCAAAATGATATCCACTTTGATATATTTTTCGAACAAAAAAAATTGAGCCATTTTTTACCAGTCTATACCATATGGTATTGACTGGTATTGAAATAAGAGAATACCTATGGTTTGAAAAGCGTACCATGGTGGTATGAACAAACCAAGACTGTAGGATGTTTGAATACATGATAGTAGAAGTATATTAATTATCATTTATGACTTTTAACACTGTGTACCACAAGATACCACCCCGTACCAGGGTGGTATTGTATAGTATTGTGTGGTATTTTTTTGGTCTTGTAATTTGTTCAACCAGAAATTTGTAGATCCAATAGATCATGATGAACTCGTCCCTTCTGTACAAATGTTTTCAAAAATGAATTAACAACGAAGAAAATACCATATGGTATGCAGTTGGTACCGAGAGGCCATAATTTTTTTTTCTCAAAAAATATTGAAAATTGATATCATTTCGTAGAGCACGATGAACT